AATTACACAATTGTTTAGTGTCGTGAGTCCTTTGGGATACGATACTTGGTGTTACCATTTTATATTACTTGATACATTCAGTACATTTGCCGATATCTTAACAAGTTTTTGACACCGTTGCCGGGGACTCGTGATTTAAACTATACTCGCCGTTGCCGGGGACTCGTGGTTCAAAGTTGCATAGCACAAACATGCCTATGTAAACCGATTATTCGCACTCACAATTTTGCAAGGGAATCAACAAAAGGTTTGGAAATTTTCTTCACTGAAAGATTAAATATTGTTTGGAAAACGAAAAAGAGAATTGAAATGTTATAACTGAGAAATGGACATGGTGTTAGGAAGAGTCAGTTACCGAAGGGTTTTGCCGGATGCATGTGTGGGAGGAGAGGAGTGTTCAACACTGACAGTAAGGACGAGCGTAGCAGAAAAATTAAAATGGCCGAATGAAAGATAAAGTGTGTAGTGTTCCCCCATTTGATATTTGGACCGTTCGATTAATAAAATGCTCCTAAATTTTAAACGTGTTCTAATAAAATATTCCGGTGCTGTCAAATTGAATAGTCTGTAATGCGATATTTACATCATATTTGTATTTCCACAGTTTGCTTACACATTTCTCCATCATATTTGTATTTCCGCAGTTTGCTTACACATTTATCGTTTATACGGTCACTTTTGGCAACTTTCGATAAAACCCAAACCTGAATTTTACTCCAATTAAGCTTTAAACATGTTTCAAAACGATTATTAGTAAACTGATTTAATTTCGACATTTGCCTCAAACTCATCCTAGCTTATATTAAAAATGAAGCTTTCAACCCAAATCTTTCGAAGCGTGCCCACATAGCTCCAACCAGGTGGTGAATTTTTACTCATTTATTAGTTTATTTAACTCATGTTTATAAGATTTTCATGAAAAATATTCAAAATTATTATTTTTAACTTGTTTCACAAAATTTCACATTAAGCCGAAGATATGCTCTCATTTGATAATTTTATTAAATAAAGAAATAATTAAATTATTTACCTAAATAAATGTTCTTAATCTACATCAAATCACCTTATATTCACTGATAACATGCCCAGTAGTTTTAAGTCCCATGTCAACGTTCCTGAGCATCAGCTCAGTTGCTTTGGCTTCTGGGTGAGACGTGTCGCCAACCAGAAACTTGTGAAGGGCTCCATTAATTTCCACATAGCTCCAACCAGGTGGCTTCTGGATGCCAACATCATCAATTGCCTTTCTCACACTTGCGGCTTCATCATGCTTTCCCACGAGAGTTAGCACATTAGATAGCATCACATAACGGGCTCCATGATCACGCTCCATCGCAAGAAGCTCATGGCTCGCAAGTCTAGCCAATGCCACATCCCCATGAATTTTGCTAGCACTCAACAGTGATCTCCATATCACAGCATTGGCCTTGAACGGCATATTCTGAATCAAACAATATGCTTCATCCAATCGTCCAGCCCTACCAAGAAGGTCAACCATGCAACCATAATGTTGCGTGTGAGGAATGACACCATGCACACTCAACATGGATTCAAACAGCCTCTTGCCATCATCGACCAAACCATTATGCCCACAAGCACATAAAAGTGCCACAAATGTGACCTCATCCGGTTTTAAACCGAGCAACCTCATCTCCTCAAACACGGCCATAGCATGTTCACCAAGACCATGATGAGCAAGGCCAGACAAAATAGAGTTATAGAGAAAAGTAGTTCTCATATCATCACTTGTTCTCCTGAACACATCCAAAGCAGTGTCTATGCTTCCACACTTGGCATACATATCCACAACAGCACAAGTGAACCCCCTGAGGGTACCACGCTGCCAACTTCCACCATCATACTTGTGGTGAATTCTTCTTCCCATCTCAAGGCTCCCTAGCCGCGCACACGCTGCAAGAGCGGCAACCACAGCAACCTCATCCGGTTCCATCCCCAAACCCTCCAACATCACAAACAGCTCCAATGCTTCCTGAAAATACCCAGAGTGACAGTAACCACTAATCATGGCCGTCCAAGAAACCACATCTCTTTCACCCATTTGATCAAACAACCTTCTAGCAACCTCAACTTCTCTGCGCATAGCATATGCACTTACCAAAGAAGTCCAAGCCGCAACCCCACTCTTTCCATGCCCACATCTCACTACTCTCTCAGCCACCTCCAAGCACCCACATTTCGCATACATATCAACAAGAGCATTCATCAACAACTCATTCTCATTTACACAACCCAATATCCTATACACCAAGCCATGCACCACTCTCCCAGTTCGACTATCCTCCAAGGACGAACAAGCGGACAACAAGGCAACGAGGGTATACTCATCAACCTCGACACGATTCCCTCTCATTTCCCCAAAAACCTTCAGAGAACAATCAGCACGACCCTCACGCACAAGCCCATTAATCATCGTGTTATATGAAACGCAGTCCCTCACAGGACTTTCATCGAACATCTTGCACGCATTGGGGGCATCCCTGAGAACAAAATAAAACTGCAAAAGAGCGTTTACAACAAAGACACTTGACTCAAACCCACTTCTTATAACGTGAGAGTAAATCTGAAGAGCCAGATTTGGAAGCGATAGCTTGGCACTGGACTTGAGAAGGAATGGGAAGGTGAAAGAGTCCGGGGAGACGGGTGGGGAGGAAGAGAGCATTGACCTGAAGAGAGAGAGGGCGTA